TGGCTGGGCTCGGATGCACCAGTTGTTCTCACTGAGGCCTCCCCACCAAATTTTAATTTCTCTTTTTCTATTAGAAGTGGTAAGAGAGGTGGTGGGACTGCATCTTTAGCCAACAACACACTCACCACCAAACAAATTTTATTTGATCATTTTACCACTTTTGAATTCCATGCTATTGTTTTCAGCAGCCCTCCAGTTTCATCTGTCACAGTTTACAGACCACCTAAAGACAGCGCTGCTTTTATCAAGGAATTCTCAGAATTTTTAACAAACATACATTCAAAATATAATATAATTTTAACCGGTGCTTTTAACCTGCACATAGATAATCCTTCTGACCCTGCAACAAAAGAACTCTTAAACATTCTTCACTGTTTGGATTTTACCCAGCACGTCACGCAGCCGACTCACAACAGAGGACACACTCTGGACCTGGTCATCACCCATGGGCTGTCCACCAGTGTGTCCTCTGTTGTTGACTTGGCTGTCTCTGACCACTACTGTGTGTTTTTTAACATCACCGGTTTTATTCAGCGGGAGACCTCGGTGCGAACTGTGAGGAGGCGCTATCTAACCTCTGAAGTGGCTGCAAATTTTACCAGGGTTTTAGTCAAATGCCCCCCTGTGATTTTACCCGCACCCTGCGATTTGATTTTTAGTTATTTCAACAGCAAACTGAAGAAAAGCCTTGACTCCGTTGCTCCACTCACCACCAAAAAGATTAACGTAAAACACGTATCACCCTGGAGAAACGAAGAAGTCAAAAAACTCAAAAGAAATTGCAGGGCAGCAGAAAGGAGATGGAGGAAAAATAAAAATAATATCAGCCATCAAATATTTTCCGAGCAACTTAAAATGTACAATAATACATTAAGGAAGTCAAGAAATTCATACTTCGCCAAAATAATCAGTAATAACAAAAATAATCCCAAGGTCCTCTTTTTTAAAAGCTCCAAAAGAACCCCCACAGACTCGCTCTGTGAGCAGTTTGCAGACCACTTCAGGGGAAAGATCAGCGCCATCAGATCTGATATTTTATCTAATCGCGATATGATTGTAAACACATCTGAGGGCTCGATTGTACCTGAGGAGACACTGGACAGCTTTGTCCTGGTTAATGCTGAGAACCTTCAGAAAGTTTTCTCCACAGTGAGACCCACCACATGTCTTTTAGATCCAATCCCCTCTTTACTTTTTAAAACACTTTATGGATTTTTTTAGGCTGAGCTTTTATACATGATGAATTGCTCTCTTCAGTTGGGTGTCTTCCCTGCTGCCTTTAAAACGGCGGTGGTGAGGCCCCTTCTGAAGAAGAGCAATTTGGATTGTAATGATTTTAATAACTACAGACCTGTATCCAACTTACCATTTTTAAGTAAAGTCTTAGAAAAACTTGTTTTTACTCAGATTACTGATTTTCTCAATGATAGACAGATCCTGGAGATATTCCAGTCTGGATTTAGGGTGAACCACAGCACAGAGACAGCTCTCCTAAAGGTTTTAAATGATCTTAGATGTAACTGGGACGCCCAAAAGCTCTCAGTCCTGGTGCTACTGGATCTAAGCGCAGCCTTTGATACAGTAGACCACGCTATTCTTTTAAACAGACTGAAACACATGGTGGGCCTCTCTGGTGCTGTACACAACTGGTTCACTTCCTATCTCTCTGACAGATCTTTTATGGTGAGTATGGATACATGTTCCTCTAAGGTCCATGAAATGACATGTGGTGTGCCTCAAGGGTCGGTTCTAGGCCCTGTACTTTTTAATTTGTATATGTTGCCTCTCGGCAGTGTCATCAGGAGGCATGGAGTGAACTTCCACAGTTACGCTGATGACACGCAGCTGTACATCTCCGTGTCTCCTGATGACACCAGACCAATGGATGCCCTTTTTAACTGTGTCTTGGATATAAGATCTTGGATGGCAGAAAACTTTTTACAGCTTAACCAGGACAAAACTGAAGTTTTAATTGTCGGTCCTGAGGCTCAGAGAGAGAAACTCTTGTCTAAATTAGAGGCATTTTCACTATGTCCTTTGCTACAAGTGAAAAACCTGGGTGTTATTTTTGACTCTGAGCTTGGTTTTATCCCACATGTTAAACATGTAACCAAAATTGGATTTTATCATCTAAAAAATATAGCCAGAGTCCGCCCTATTCTCTCTCGGGCCAACACAGAGATGCTGATGCATGCTTTTATTACCAGTCGCATTGATTACTGTAATGCCCTGCTCTCTGGTCTTCCTAAGAAGAATATTTCAACTTTACAACTCTTGCAAAACTCGGCAGCTCGTGTGCTGACGAAGACCAGAGGGCGGGCCCACATTACACCGGTTTTAGAATCGCTGCATTGGCTCCCCGTGTGTTTCAGGATCGATTTTAAAGTTCTTTTATTGGTTTTTAAATGTCTTAATGGTCTTGGGCCTTCTTATCTCTCAGATCTGCTTTTACCATACGAACCCTCGCGGACCCTGAGGTCCTCTGGTGCTGGCCTTTTGATTGTCCCTAAAGTCAGGACACATACTCACGGAGAGGCAGCTTTTCAGTGGTATGGTCCTCGTCTGTGGAACAGCCTGCCGGAGGAGCTCAGGGCCGCAGAGAACGTACATGTTTTTAAGAACAGGCTCAAGACCCACCTTTTTAATTTAGCTTTTACTTAGCGTTTATTTATTTTTTATGCTTATTTATTCTATCCTGTTATTCTATTATTAATTTAGGATTTACCTAAAATTTATTGATTTTATTCTTATTCATTTTTTAATCTTCTTACTCTATTTATATTTATATTGTATCCTGTTCTTATTTATTTTATCATTTTACCCTGTATATATCGTATTGCGTCATATCTCCAGTGTTTCCTCGGAGGGCGCTCTCTGCACCGGGGCTGTTATTGACCGTGGCTGCTGGGTCTCTGGGGTCCTCTCAGCCTGGTTGGGGGGCTCCTTGGCCTCCCTCCTGCTGTGTGCCCAGCCCGGAGGCTGCGGTCTGTGACCGGCTCCCGGTGCAGACGGCTCTCTGTTATAATGTTTCCTCACTTGGCTCATGCGAGCCCAGCCCAATTTTTACTCTTTAAGTGTGCGCGTGTGTGTATGTGTGTGTGGGTGGGGGGATATATGTGTATTGAGAGTGTGGGGAGTGAGTTGGAGGGTGGGGTGGGCTGCTTTTAACTATGTAAAGCACTTTGTGCTACATTTTTTCTGTATGAAAAGTGCTTTATAAATAAAGATTGATTGATTGATTGATTGATTGATTGATTGACACGCTGGGTCTCCGACTGCTAGGTCTGTAACACAGCACACACAAGCAATACACAGTAAATGGACTCATTCTTAGAGTGCTTTTCTACTCTCCCGGGGGGCTCACTACGCTTTATAAAACATTCACACAACTTCACACTCTGATGGATGCGTCACAGAGCGACTTTGGGTTATTTGCAGGGCATCAGGTGAGGACCTGAAGCTTCTGTGAGGAAAAGGAAGCACACGGCACTGTGAACACTAAACCATCAGCAGCAGGTATAACAGATATTCTGTTATACCTGTATGCAAAAAAAAATTTCATAGTTCAGCAATACTGATCAATCTAATAAACTTAAACCTACACCATCCTCCCTATTCTGGTATTTTTAAGAGTACTTAGCGTAAATATTAAGCAACCTAACTAATAGGGTTCCAACTCCCAGCAACAACAAAAATAAATAAATAAAAAATAGGGAACCACCCCTCACGCTCCACCTCATGATGCTTAATCGACGTAATCAACCTTAATTTGATGCAGTGTGAAAAAAATGCACAGAAATCAATTATTTTTCAAGAAATATTAAATAGATTCAACATCTTTCTTCAACAAAATTGCAGACTGCACAGATGGTACCGTCCCAAAGGAAAAAGTACTATAGCTTACTAGGGTATATTAGACTTAATAGTTACTATATACAGTAATGGACTTCTATTCATTTTACATCAAATTAAAACTTTGGGTGTCAGATAATTATTTATTAAAAGCTAGACATTTTAAATGAGAATAAGAAAGAAAAGTATGTCTTTGTGCCCCCTTTTCCCTGTTAATGCCCTATCGGCCCCCCTGGCTAAACTTTGCTAGATCCGCGCCTACACAGTTACGTCAGCTACGTAGAAAAAGATCCTGGAGTAGAAAGTAATATTAAATAAATTCTAACAACAGCTGATCAAGCTTAAACGTCCTGCTGTTGTTCAGCCGCTGGTTTCCTCTTTCTGGTGCAAAGTGGGCCAAAAACAAACAAGAGAGACGGACTCGCGACAGAAAAGCCGATCAGCTGATCATTAAGCAGTTTCATGATTGAAGTAGCAGCAAGAAGAGGCAGTCGCTCCATATATCGCTTGTTAAGCTTAACGCAGGAATGCTTTACATTCAGAGATGGACTTACACACTTGCTTTACTTCTCTCGGGGATAACTTTGTCGGAGATGAAATGCCGGGTTGCTAGCGAAGCTCCACATGCTATCCAGACCAGTGTTGGTCAAGTTACTTGAAAAAAGTAATTAGTTACTGATTACTGATTACTTCTCAAAAAAAGTAATCCCGTTACTTTACTGATTACTTGTTTTCAAAAGTAATTAATTACTTAGTTACTTAGTTACTTTTAAAAAACATGATACACTACCTGAATGCTTGATAAAGCAATAGACCTTTTGGGCCAATGCTATTTTTTCTGCATAATCCATCATATAAAAGTGAATCAAATGGAAAAGTGTCTTTTTAAAAAATTGTTTATTACTTTTAATCTTAACTTTATAAACAGTGGATCAAACAAAAATTTAATTAAATTCAACAGTCTTTGACTTTAATAAATTTGTTTAACATTTGAACATATTTCTGCACATTACACCATATTTTAAGAAAATAAAGGCTTAAACTGTATTTCTGCATACTCCAGCATATAACATAAATTATTTTTGTGTATACACACATCTTTTCATATAAATAAAGCAAAAAATAAATAAATAAAATAAATAAAATTAACAAAAACATCTTTTAACAGTTGGTAAAGTGCAGAGAGGCATAATATTGAGATTACAAAAACAGAAAATGCTATTGCATGCTACATTCAGGCTGTTAATCCAGTCTCAGTTTGTGGCAACCCTGAAAAAGACCTATGTTTTATTGTTTTCTTTTGGACTGAAACAGTGGTTATATCGCATCAGCAGAAGCTTCTCAAACCTTCTATCAGACATTCTGTTCCTTTTTGGGGAAAGCACCAATCCACCTAAACTGAACAGCCGTTCCACTGGTGCACTGGATGGAGTTGGACTGTTGTATTTCATGTACATCTTTTTGAGATTTGGGAACTGATTCAGAATCTCAAGCTCATAGCCTGACCTTAAAAAGTCAGTTATTTCTTTTTCTGCTGAGAAGCTTTCTGTGGGCTGATTCTGAAATTCAAAAAAGTCCATTTCGGCTGGGCTGGCTGGGATTTGGGACACATTAGTGTTCTCAGTTGCAGGAGCAGCTTTACGACACTCTGTTATCAGGAGCTCCTTCACATACTCTCTCCTACGCTCATCTCTCAGCCAACGAAGTTTAAACTTGGGACAAGTGGCCGCTGCGAGAAGTCCTTCTTGGCTGTCCAGAACAGCATCAAAACGAGTCTTGATGGCCTGTAACATACAATATGATGCATCTAAGAATTATTTTACTATATAATTACCTATTGTCATTATTTTGTGGGCTTTACAGCTCTAAACCATCTATATTTTCTATTATCAATACTGTATGAGATTTAATTTTGGCTGAGGCTTTTGTTGATATTATGATTAATATTCATGATTAATGATGATCAATGTCCCTGATATTTAACAAGGGGTGAATACTTGGTCTTTTATTCTATCATTTTAATAATTGTACCCACTGCTTAAAACAAAGTATAACATCCACCCACTGTGAATGGTATAATAAATTTAACAAATCCACCCAAAGCAATTAATAATAATCTTACCTTTACAATGACATCTGGAAGGCTGGCTGTCATTCTAGAGAGGTCATCTTTCAGGGCAAGGGTCTTTGACATCAGGCTTGTGAGTGTTGGCAGTAAAGCCCCGTAGGTGCACTCATCCCCTTGTAAGATGTCCAGAGCCACTGTCAGGGGCTTCATCACAGTACAGTACTCTTTCAAGAACCGGTACTCCCTTTCATTAAGGCACTTGATTCCCAGTTTTACACACAGGGGATTAAGTTCATTCAAGGGAATTGTGATGATTCTAGAAATGGCCTCATACAGGGAATTCCACCTTGTGGATGTCGGTACATTAGTTTCCTCCGACTGACTTCCTCCACCTGTTCAGAGGCTAATGTTGATCGACTTGCTTTAGTCCAAAGAGCAGAACATTTTGCAATGCTACTCCTATATACAGCCTTGGTGTCTGCACAGGAATTTAGATGTTTGTCAACATCGCTTGTTGAAATCAAGTTAATTGTGTGCGATGCACATCTGTAGTGTGGAGGGAGGCTGAACTGTGCATCACCAGATGCAGCTGAAAGAGCTTCTATGACATCAGTAAAGGTCGGTTCCTCGTCATCACCTTCTTCATTTTCAGATTCAGACTCCAAATGACAGGGCTGACATACTCTGAATGCTTTGGCAAAATTGGATGCATTATCCGTTACAGTGGCAATAACTTTGCCTTGTAGTCCATATGATGAATGGATTTCTTCAATCTCTGCTCCAATTACATCATAGGTATGGCTGCCTCTAATTCTCTTGCATGCTAGAGCGGCCTTGTTGTGTTGTAATGTGGAATTAATCCAGTGAACTGTTACACCCATAAAACTTTTATTATTTACCGTCCAGATGTCAGCAGTGGTGGAAACAAACTCTGCCTCTTCGAGTGTAGCCTTCAAGTTAGAGTTCATTTTGTCATATTCTCTCTCAAGGTATCCTACAAATGACTTTCTCTGGGGCAGCTTGACACCACTTTTAGTTGGTATTTTTTCTATGATGCGTCGGAATGATTCAGAGTCAACAGTGGAAATCGGCAACATGTCCTCGACGATATAGGCAGCGACAAGCTTCTTCAGTTCAGCGGCACTAAGTCCTGTCGCTCTTACGTCTAGTTTAACCTGTTTAGCAGGAGTGGGTCCATCTGAGGTTTGCCCGGTGGAAGTAGATGTGGTAGCCACAGCGGTCACGTCAGTGAGGGGATCCTGGGGGTTTTCTGTCAATTTAACATTCTTGTGGCAGCGTGCTAGGTGCTTGCTCAGGTTGGAAGTGGAATTTTTCGACGTAGAAAGAAGTTTTCTTCCGATGCAGAGTGTACAACGTACGCTTATGTTTTTGTCGCTTTTTAAAGAGTCAAATTCAAAATAATGTCGGTATTTCCAAGTATTAAATGCTGCACGATCGTACTCTATCCCTCGCTCCATGTTTTCTATTGTTGACACACGAGCTACCATAGCCGTCGCACTCGCTTGCGTCATTGTCATGAGACATTCTCGCAAAAAGTTCACGGTTTTAGTAACGCAGTAACGCAGCGTTCCTATGGGAAAGTAAAGGTAATCTAATTACCGTTTTTGCAATAGTAATCCCTTACATTACTCGTTACTTGAAAAAAGTAATCCGATTACAGTAACGCGTTACAAGTAACGCGTTACTGCCCATCTCTGATCCAGACCACCGACAGGTCCCGCATGTCACAGCTGCTCTATAACGTGATGCATACTGCTCCGACGTGCAACGTTCTGAGGCAAGTTACGGCGTGTTGCAAGTTTTGTGAGGTGCTTTCGTGATATTTAATGGATTACATTTTTTATTTTTCTCCGATATCCGATCCAGTAATTTAGGTCAGTATCGGACCGATACCGATATGTAATATCGGATCGGTCCATCTCTAGTTTTAATGTGTCATAATTGCAGCCGAACACTTGGCCAGAGTTCATGTCTGAGGAAAGAGACTCATTATTTTTAATGTCCGGGCCCTGGTTTAGGGTCACACTGGAGTCTCTGGGTTCATGTGTTTCACTATCAGAAATACAGACTGGAATTGCTTTCATACACAAACAGTGGTAGAAACTAGCTGGTTGGTTAAAACTTTCAGTTTACAGCACCCTAAATGCGACCAAACATCAGATTCAGCCAAATTCTCTCTGGTTCGAAGGAAACAGAAGACAGGATGTAGGAGATCTTTGATCGCCTTTGTGGACAGTGAGATGTTTTAAAGAGGACTTTCCTGACTTCAGTGATTCTCTGTGATGACCTGTTTGTTGGAAATGTAGTAGTCGGTTTGGGAAATTATGAGTGAAACATCTTGATACATTCTCAGTCATCCAGGAAAGTAAATTTCCAAAAAGTTGATTCTGTTCATCTGGACGTAGCGTTTTGTAGGAGAAATGTTTCATCATCATCCAAGTGACTTCTTCAGTCTCAGCTGACTGCAGGTTTCCCCAATCTCATAAACAGTAAATTTGCATAATGACTGAAACCAGCCCACTGAAGGAACAATGGGCTGGGAGGTCAGTTCCTTAATCTTAATTATGAAAATTCTCATGACCATTGATCAACAACCACTGACCAAAAACCCACTGATCAAAGCCCACTGATCAATGGCCATGAGTACCATTCACAGAGAGTTTGGATGAGTGACGAAATGTTTCTCCCACAAAATACTACGTCCAGATGAACAGAATCAACATTTTGGAGATATGAGTGAAACAGCGTGTGAGTGGAAATACTGTTAATATTTCTGTCCCACCAGGTTCAGCAGGCCTCACCAATGATAGTATTCTGTCCGCTTCCTGGTATCTGAGTCACCATCTAACTAGCTCTGGTGTTGCACTCTTTAGCCTCAGATGCTGCCACAGCTTACAGACGTTTCTGAGCATGTGCAGATAAACGTCTGACACGTTTGGATGGTGTGCTGTCAGGTACAAAACTCTATTCTCACCTCTCCCCTTCCTCCAGCATCCAGGTGAGTTCACCTGACAGAGAAAGAGAAGCAGGATATCTCCAACACAAAATGTGCATGACATGTAGCATCAAGCCTGTTTTCCTTGTATTTGTACCTGTTTTGGACTTTTCAATCTCCTGTTTTATTTTACTAAGTACTAAGTAAATAATTCATCAGCAGCGACCGCAGTAGAAACCCTCACTAACATTTATCCCCGCCATCACAGAGGTCATGTGATTGGGTCAGTTTGTCAGGTGCAGCTCGTTGACCCAAACCTTTTCATGGACCTTCACAAACCGGGGGACTCTGTCTCGTAGAGACGTCGACCCGATGAGTTCACCTTACTCTATAGATCACCTGTTTTTGTGATTTGATGCTGTTTAGATGAAGCTGGGTTGAACTGAAAAATAAAAAAGGAGAAACTCTGATTTCAGATAGTCGTTTTATTTGAACATTTATGTAATCTGAGTTGTTTTTCCTGCCCGACTCTAAGTGGCACATCCAGCACAGCAGTTTTTAACCAGCTGATGAAGAAAAAATAGAGTATCTGCAACAGAAATCGATTCAATCGACTAAATTAGAGTAAATCTGGGAGCAGTCTGTCAGTCTGATGATGTGATGTGTTGTTTAATCTTGTGTTTTATTGTCACATCTTTTATTATTGACCTTTTACTGTTTATGAGATACTCGATCCAGTACTTAAAGGACTGGGATCAGACTTCAGTAGATTTCATCTATTTTTGCTCTTTTTTCATTCGCTCAGGCTAATTGACTCATTTTATAAAATTCTGAATAAAAAACAGAAACCAAATCAAAGCAGACGCCATAAACGGCTGGAGAGAAGCTGCTGCTCCATCACCACCAACCACTGCCTTCTCCAGCTGTTGCCATAGTTACACACTAGTCCTACGAGATGGTGCCGGTTATCAGCAAATTGGCTGTGCTCACACACACACACACACACACACATGCACGTGCTCGTGCACACGCGCACACAGACACGCGCTCGCGCGCGCACACACACACACACACACGCACACACAGACACACACGCACGCACACGCACGCGCTCGTGCACACGCACACACACACACACGCGCGCACACACAGACACACACACGCACACACTAACACACACGCACGCGCTCGTGCACACGCACACACGCGCGCGCGCGCGCACACACAGACACACACACGCACACACAGACACACACGCACGCACACGCACGCGCTCGTGCACACGCACACACACGCACACACAGACACACACGCGCACACACACACACACACACACACACACACACGCACACACACACACACACACACACGTGCCTGCGAGATGCTTTTGTGCACACATTTAAATTCAGACACCTCGCTGAGTTCACCTGTCACTCACCTGGGCCCTCACATCCAGTGTTGGGAAGGTTACTTTTAAAATGTATTCCATTACAGAATACAGAATACATTCCCCAAAATGTATTCTGTAACATATTCCGTTACGTTACTCAATGAGAGTAACGTATTCTGAATACTTTGGATTACTTAATATATTATCATGCTTTTTACAACTACATGAATGTACTATTGCTGTGATTTATTACTGTTACTGAAGGTCCGCGGCTCCGAACCCGTAGTAAAGGGACCTCTGACTAATACGTCGGTTCCGTGTCAGGCTCGTAGCCGAAAAATAGCTTTACTTTGTTGTCTGGGTCAACTTTGCTTGCGAGAGACAGAGAGAGGCGTTGAAAGACTGCTCCAACGGAACTTGTTGTTTTGGAGGAAAACACGAACACAGCGTACAGTCGAGTCTTAATAGCTTACTTACAACTGGGCTCGTCAGGCACTCTTCTTGGCTGCAGTGGTTATTATTATATTTACATGCTTCCAGCTCCCGTTTTTGCTTGATAACAACTCGTACTTTTCCACTCGCCTTTTTCTCCCTCCTCGCACTCACAGACACATAACGTGTATGGCAGTCCATTCTCCCTGCAACACGGACTACACTGCCCATGATGCTACATTCTTTAGAGCTATACCTGTAGCATTCTGCCTGTTAGCTTAGCACAACAACAACAAAAAGGCGCTCTCTCACCGAGGAAACACGCAGAGAGAGAGCATCACCCTGTAACCATGGCAACCGTAACGCTGCCACCTGGAACAACAGAACGTAGCTGTCAAACAAAACCCAAACAGTCCTGACCCGCGACAATATGAAACAGGAAAGTACCGCA